AAAAAAAAAAAAAAAAAAAAACAATTCCATTCTTTCCAATAAAGTTTTTCTTTTTTTCTTTTCTTTTTGATTTACATATTCGTCCATAATTTGGAGCTCCACATACTGGCAGCAACACAGGCTAATTCTTTCGTTGTAAGCTCTACTTTCTTATTAAACCCACAGGATGCTGCAAGGTATCGAATGAGTAACTTTCCCTCAATCTTTTCCTCCCATTTATCCTTTAAGGCAAATTCAAATTGTTCATAATTCATTTCCACAACAGCACTTGAGGTGGCTCGGAAACTCAGTAAACCATTAAAATACAACAATAATGGATCTTCAAAGTGTAACATCGCCGTTACTAAGTATTGACGTAATGAAGTGAGAGTAATAGGAGCAGATCGTGTGGCCATTTGATATTCGGTGAGAATCTCACTAGCATCTACCGCCGTTACTTGGGATGAACTTCTATAAATATACTCCAACAGTGTAAGTACATCATCCTTTAATACCGCCTCATCTGGATTAGATGAGGGCCAATTAATACTTAACTGATTCAATACAAAAGTAATGTAATGAATACGTGTGGGAGATTCAAAACCTCGAATACAACTAAGATATAAATCCACTAATGGTTGAGAGGTCATGGTTGCATCCAGATAACAAAGAATTTCGTATAAAGTTTTTGCCACCAATTCTGGATAACAGTAACGAGATTCTAACTCTCGTATAATAGATTCTTGGAAATCTGTTAACACATAAGATTCTTTAAAAAAACGTTCGGCCATATTTAAAGTCATTTGCGTATTTGTCGCACGACCACGTGCTTGTCTAATACAACGCATATATCGTTCCTCTGCCCGATCAAAGTGACGTTCACATGAATTTAAAAGAATATGATCAATACAAGCCATATCTATTAGACGTGGTGTAAGTGGTCTATATCCACCAAACATACTTTGATAAAGTAACCATTCCGGTGATCGATTGGGTGAAAGTGGATTTAATCGCTCAAACACAGTTGCCGCTGTGGAAGAGGAGGATGTTGCGGCCGCTCCTTTCGTTGCCGCCTTCTGCCCAGTGGATTGAGTGAGTTGATTAAAGATAGTAGAGTTCTGCACAAGATCCGGAATAGGTGATGTCTCACTCTCATTCTTTTGAGTTCGCATAAAAGATGTTCTCCCACCCCACTCATCTACAGTATCGAGAGCCGTTAACGTCGCAGCTGCCGCTTCTGCTACCGCTTCCTCATCTGTTAATTCACGTGTTGTTTCTAATCGCATGGGATTTCGATATTTTACATGCATAAAGTTTGTTCCTTGTGGGATATGTAAAGGTAATACCGGATCAATATCCATAACGGAACAGAGAAAGGCTTGAGTTTGTTGACTTGGTCCAGCATAAAGATCAATCCCACATTGGAATTTATTATTACTGACATCTAACATTGGATGAGAAATGAAATGACGTAAAAGTTGTTCTTGTTCTGTTTTATTTCCTTCACAAGCACCGTGTTCTTTAATGCGTTTTAAAAGGTTTGTTGTATCTACGGCGGCTCCAAAGATATTTAGTACCCATTCCTTTTGTTTTTGCTTTACAATAGATAACGCATCTGCAGTCGCCTCATGTATTACTACTTCTGGTGATTCTTGAGGTACTGTTTGTTCTTGTGAATCTTTCCTTTCTTCTGTTGTCTCTGGCTGTTGTTGTTGTTGTTGTTGTTGTTCTTGTTCTTGTGGCTGTTTTTCTTCCTTTTCAGTTTTTTCTTCTTTTCTACTAGTTGACTGTTCCTCTCCTCCTCCTCCTCCTCCCTTTTCTTGCTTCTGCTTTTGTTGTCGTCGTTGTCGCATATTCGTAAATTTAATCTCTGAGATGCGTGAGAGTTGTGCACTGGAGTTCACAGAGGATGGAGTGAGAGAAGCGCCGGCTTCTGTTTCCTTCCCATCATTTCCATGTATACTCATCACCGCCAGTGTGTCTTCACTCCCACTATGCGGCGGTGTAGTGATCTCTCCATCTATTAACGTCCCTGCAGCGGCTGCAGTGATATTCGTAAGTGTTGTGTTGGTAGCGGTGGCGGCCAATTTCTCTTCTTGTGCAGTCACGCGGGCCATGAGAGCCGTATACATTTTTGAATCTGTCAAGAGAGAAACATAGGCGTCCGTCTCATCCTGTTCCTCTCCTGTGAGCATTTGTTTACGGTGTGGTAAGAGACGTAAATAACGTTCCTCCGATAGATGCATTTCTTCTAATAACACCGATACCACACTTAACATACGCTTCTGCTGTTCTGCTCGTTCGGTCTCTTCACATAAAAGAAATTCCTTATCATATTCATCCAGGGCTTCATTCACACGACTTTCTAATTGACTCAACATCACTAACACCGCCACCCGCTCATCTCCCGCATCAAATAATTGCGTCATCACACCAATCTTCTTATCTTTAAAGGATTTATAGGCATCTCGTACTACAGTAGACTCCCGTTCGCCAATATACTTTCGTAATCGACACAATCGCAATTGCATATCCTTATTATCCTGTTGTAATCGCTGTCTTTCATCATCATATCTGTCTCTCAATTGGATGTTAAGTTGTTGTTGTTCATCCAGTTCCTTTCTTGCTCTGCGGTAACTCTCAGCGGAGCGTTCATTCTCCCGCTCCAGTCGACCCACTTCATTCTCATAGTAATCCACCATCTCTTCTAGTCGTTCTGCTTTCTTACTAAGAGTGGCCATCGCCTCACGGGTATTACCAAGTGCTACTTCCATGCGAAGTGCCGCATTCTCACGCAGTAGCACATCCACCTGTTCAAAGTACGTCAGTCCCAACTCCCGATCCGCAAGAGTATCATCATCATTAACGCTGACATAAGTGTTATTATTGTTTTTACTATTGTTGTTGTTGTTGTTCTTATTATTATTATTACCATTTGTAACACTTGTACTGAGTTGGGGTATCACTGCATCAAGACTTTGGCGAGTGAAGGTGGCTCGACTGAACTCTATACGAAACATCTTCATTAGTTGTGCTAACTCTGGTGATTGATCTTCCACTACACGAGTTACGGCATCATATGTCTGAAACGTTTTCATTAATCGCAGTGCTGTTGGGGGAGTTGCCATATTGTTTGTTACTAATTCCTTTAATGCGACTTCATGTTCCAGCAGTGCACTTCGCCAGCGTCCCTGTGCGATATTTCTCTGTGCAGTGGCACGGCTCTCAGAAGCTAATAGTGCTAATGGATTTTTGCTCGCATCTATATTCTTTGCAGAGCGTAGTTGTTGTGATTGTGATTGTGGTTGTTGGGATGCGGCAGGTATGGTTGGAAGTACACTACCGGCCTTTTCCACACTACTCTTTACATCAGAAACTGCAACTGTTTTCATCTTTCCACTTCGTGATGTGAGGGAATTCTGAAGAGGGGTATCATTCGTCAAAACGAAGTTTCTTCGTTCCTCCATACTCCCTCTTTCTTCACCCTTTTTTTTTTTTTTCTTCTTCACCTCACTCTGTGTACAGGAAAAAAAAGAAAAACAAAAAAACAAATAGAATGATAAAAAGAATAAAAGAGAAAGAAAACGTGTGTGTGTGTGAAAGAGATATACGTACAGCAGATTCCTTAACAGGTGGTTGGCACTCAGATTCATTATCCATATATATATACAAAAGGGATTACAGATGGACACTTAGTCGTAGTATCATTGGGAAGCTTGGCGTGAGAATACAAATATATATATATATATATATATATATATATATATATTAGTTTTAACATGCTCTTCCGCGTATGGAGAACATAAAAAAAAAAGAAGAAGAGTGTAAAGGGCCAAGAATAATAAAGAAAACATTAAATAAACAAATACTCAAAAAACAAAAAAAAAAACAAGTAAATAGTTTAATTAACATTCTCTCATCAACCAAGTGTGCCCATTTTTTTTTTTGTCTTTTTCTTCTTCCATTCTTTAAGCTTATTGGTTCCGTCATTTTTCTTTTCTAACATTTGGGTTTAATGTACTGAAAAGAAACACATCCTCCCTTTGTATATGTGATCCAGCATCTCAGCAAAACTGGCAAAACATTCTGTACAAAAAAAAAAATTCTTCTTTTATTCATTTTGTTTTCCTTTTCCTTTTTTTTGTTTTTTTTTTTAGTATTTTTCTCCAGAATAATAAACAATTACACATATGTAATGATGAATGAGGCTGATACCTACACAGAAACAATAATAAAAAAAAAGGTATACTAACAACCATACGTACATGTACGCTTAGCTGCGCGTCTGACTTTGCCTTCCTTAGATTTCTGCATTTTGATTACTTTTATCCTTTTCTTTGTTTGTTTGTTTTTCTTAGAATTACTTCTCCCTATCTCTCACACATCCACAAAGAGAAAGAAAGAAAGAGAAAGAGAAAGAGAGATAGACTCCCTTTTTCCTCTATCGTCTTCCATTTCTTCCATTCTGAGAGGAGTTCGCCATTCCCCCCACTTCCTTTTCGTTCCTTTCTTTTCTTTTTTTTTTTTATCCTTTTCTTTACTTACATTCTTCTTCTTCATCTTCTTCTTCTTCATCCACACTATTATATTCTTATTAGTGCCTGTTTAACGCCAAAACTTTGGATTATGTAGTAGGATGGCGAAGAGTGTATGCACCGCCCCATCCACTACAAGTGGGAGCTGCAGATTGTCAATACCATCCAAGAAACACTCCGTTACGCTGCAGACAATGATAAGCAGAAAAGTATGTGGTGCTGCCCGTTCCCCCAACGTGTGGGTTACAAGAAGAACAACGGCCCAGAAAAAAGATCCAAACAAAAGACCAGCAACCGTGCCTGTAGTGGTTTTGTGTGTAATAGAGGCATTTGCTCTTTCAGTGTAGAGGCTGTTGCTGAGATAACGGCCAAGGGCACGGCGATAAGTAAGGAGAAAGGTACTGCCTACAATAGCCGCACAGGCATCCACCACACCGAGGGAAGTTAAACCAGGAATAACAGTAATAGCAAGATCCATTACACGTGGGGTTTGTGGAAAATTTTGAAGATGTTGTGGTATTTCATGGCGATAACGAAATATCATGGAAAGTCCAAGACCATACATAAGATAAATATGTGTACGGACCACACCTTTAATACTTTCACGACTATCAATATGATCAACGAGAAAACGGCTTAATGTATGTGAACCCCATACTTTATAGTAACGTGCAAGTTCCACAATAATGGCAATACTTGTAACTACTGAGAGTGCAAAAGAAAGAAACTGTGGTTCTACAATAGCTACTGGTGTAAAACTGAAAAGGGCAATTAAATGAAATAACTTTCGTCGTACTGTTTGTCGTACACCTTTGGTGAAAACATCCACACAGTAGACTGAAATCGGAACCACCGCCATCCACACTAACAGTACATTTAGTCGATAACGACTTGTTGTAATATATTTCCATAACCATAGAAATACATCTTCTTTAAATTGAAAACTTACGATCGCATGCATAATGGAAATAATACCAACTAATGAGGACCAAAAGAGAAACGTAATCCATGGAACACTTATACTCCGTTCAGATGACTTGGAGTTACTCACACGTAACGTCATACAATATTTAGAGCCTATGAATAATATTATTGTTTGGAAAATAGCCGATAACACCGCAGCTCGACCCGCAATATGCGTTTTAGTGGTAAAATAACCGCCAGCATGCAGAAGTGCTTCATTTCCACTCATACTATTATTAATAGCCGCATCACAGAGGTAAAAGCCCGCTAAAGAGGCAATTAACACAGCCTCATTTTCCCCCAACAAGGGATTTAACACTAAAAAAAACAAAAAACCCGTCAAAACAAATGCCCCTGCAGCAAATGAAAAGACACAATCCTTACAAATCACATACACAACCACAAGACCAACAACAGCCTGAACGACTGATTCAAGAAATATATTTCGTTGCCCACTACCCCGACGTTCACCACTGCAAACCACTAACGTCAAATATGACAAAAGTGTTGATGCATAAAACTCAACTGGTGATTGTCCCATCATCATTACATTATCCAACAATCGCTCTGAAAGAAATAATAATGGTAAAAGCATTCTACTCTCACCGTGGGGTGCAGTGAGGGCGAGAAGAGAAAGAACCAAAATCGTGGCTCCCTGCATAGCGTGCCCAGCACACCAAGACATCACCGCAAGTGCGAATGCCCATGCCGCAATGAGTGTCGAGGAGTACGACACCTCAATGCGGAGACGGGGATAAATCATCATGGGTACAAAGTATGAACCGCAACTATAAGTGGAGTCGTTCTTATTATTATTACTGTTATTATTATTATTATTATTGCTGTTGTTTTGATGGTGTAGTATGGGTAGACCTTTGCCACGAGGAACGAGAAAAATCCCCCTCGTGACACTAGACCCACAACTGCTATTGCCGTTCAACGTGAATGTGAGATGCCTCCACCGCCCACCCCCTCCCCTTTATTATTAATATTATTATTATTATTATTATTATTATTATTATTATTATTATTATCTATGTTTGATTTTTGGATATTGTTTGCCGGTGGACAAACAACCCAAACTGAATGGAATAAGGAATAATAAAAAAAAAAGAAAAAAAAAAAAGCTTTTAGAAAGAAGAAAAAGAAAAGAAGAAATAAATAAATAAATAAATAAATAATAATAATAATAATAATAATAATAATAATAACACTAATAAAGAAATATACCAGTAAGTGAGTACTATTCGAGGAAAGTAAAGAAACGAAAAAAAAAAAAAAAAGAATTCTCTCTCCAAGTCTTTATAAAAAGAGTTTTCCAACAAAGGAAAAAATGATAGGTAGAGACCCAAGGCATAAGATTAATTACCTTCTCTCTTTCTTTTTTTCCTTTTTTTTTTTTTCTTAATAATGTGATATATGTTTTTATTTATTTATTTTATTTATTCTTTTGTTGGGTGTAATCTCCGTAATCAAAAAACAAAAACAAAAATAAAATAGAAAAGAAAAAAAAAAAAGACAGAAAAAATGAATAACAATTTTTTTTTTCTTTTTATAGATGATCACGTCCTCGGCGTGCTGCGGCCATGTTTTCACCCAACTCTTCCAAATCTTGAATGGCTTGCCGAAGTGCAAACTCCACAAAATCTTGTGTTATTAGTTTTCCATCACTCATTCGTTCTGTTGATGCCTGAGAGAGAAGATCTTGTACCTTTTCAACAATATTTTTACGTAATCGTGCAGCTGCTGGGAGATCTTTATTTCCATATAAATCCTTCTTATCATAATCTTCATGAGGAAATCGCTCAAAGAAAACATTTACACTTATACAATGACTATTTCCCATTGTCGTAATATGATGAAACCAGAGGGATGGTAAGAATAACATATCACCTGGTTCAAGTATTACTTCCATTGCATGACGACAAGCATCTGCAAAACGAGGAAAACGTGTTAAATCAGGTGCATTAATATTAAGCACAGAAGATGAACTTCCATTCATATAAAGATTATTATATTCACTAGGAGGAAAAATAACCACACGTTTTGTCCCCACAACCTGACATAGCACATTATCAAGCGTATCGTAATGTGTCCATAATTCTAATGGTGGTGCACTTAATCGAAAACAGGCTTGATGCATACGTGGTTCAATATATTCTTTTATTTCTTCAGGTAATACAAAATCATTTCCAATTGCAGGAAAGTCTTTCCATATATTAGAACGTTCACTTTTCATATTAGCTGCTACCGCACGTAGATACCATGTTTCCTCATTCTCATTATTTCTCTCTTGTTCTTGTTCTTCTTTTTCATCTTTTTCTTTTTCTTCTTGTTGTTTCGGTTTCTTTTCCACTGCGGCTCCTGCCTTTACACAGTGATCTACAAGTTTAGAAAATGGGAGATGCTGAAATGAAAAATTTTTCTTTACAAAATCAAGAAGATGCGTTTCTCGAGCCACATGTACAGAGACAGTAGTATCCCCTTCCTTCTTTTTCAAATAATCCGGATCAGACCACAAATGAACACAATCACCCATATTTACTTTTCGAAATACCACAGGCTTTATTGGATGTTGTGCCAGTTTTAAAAATGCCTCTTTACTAAATCTCTGCTCCTCCACTGCGGCTCTCTTAAATGAGAAAAGAGGAGATGAAGTATTCTGTAAGAGACTCAAAGGTGTTTTTTCTGCTTGTCGGTTCGTCATTTGCCAATGACAATGACAATGATCACCAAGAAAGAGTAAAGATGGTTTGGCTGCAAATGTACCAAATGAGAAACATGTAAATCCCCCACCCAACACAGCGACTACACCTTCACCTAAAGTAACACAACAATGTCGAGTCCACGTTGGACACTCCACTGGCAGTGAAAGAACAGAAACTTTTTCTCCCGTGATGGCATCTAGGAGAACGGCTACTTCTTGTTGTTGTTGATTTCCACGTGGATGACAGGATGAACCACCAAGAACAAGAATTCGTTCCACACCGTCTATACATACATGAGACATACTCTGAGAGAATCGCGGGGCCACAACGGCGTGTGGTAAACATTGAGAGATGCCTGTAATACAATTCACACTCCATGCAGAGTCTTCACAGCAATCCCCATCCACTAAACCACCAGTAATGAGTACAGTATTGTCTACATGTAGGTTAATGACAGCAGAGGAACAACACGGTGGGGGAATATCACCTGTGAGAGAAATACGTTTCCAATGAATTTTCTTACCTGTATGTACTATTGCCATCCATGCATCATTTAATAGAGAACCTTCTGCCGTTCGACCTCCAAATACAAATATATTTCCACAGACTTTATTACCTTTTTCTTCTTCTTCTTGTTGTTGTTGAACTTCTACGGTGTTAAAATTATTATTCTTCATTGGAATAGCCACTGCCGCATGACGATATCGAGCCACAGGTAAATTTCCCGATTCACACACCTGTTCAAGTTTTGACCAAACAGCTACTACATGCGGTTTTTGTATTTGTTGTTGTTCTTGAAGAGATAAATCAAGGTTTAACATATACGCATCCATCTTCACATCACCAGGATTTGTACGACCACCCATCACAACATACATTCCAGGTGCTATGCGAGTAAAGGAATGAAATACAAGTGGTGGTGGGGCAAGACTCGCATCTGCTAACGTTATTTTACATTCTCCATCGCGAAGACTGTGAACATACACTGTATTAATTCTCTGATGACTCTTTGTAGCGGAAAATCCACCAAATGAGATAATAAGCACATCTCCAGATGGAAGTTCCTCTGCATAGGCTTGTCCATTACCCCATCCTTCAAAACCAAATCGACCTGTTGGCCATTTCTCAGAACGAACAGAAATTTTCATCCCTTCACTCAATAGAGAAGACTTCTCCGTTGTTGTTTCGGTAGATGTGAGGGTTTCTGTTTCTTCTTTTGAGAGAAAGGATGGATGAGAAGGTAATCCAATTTCCCTTGATGTACAAGCCATTGTGATACCATAATGTTTACACATTTCACACCATTCCTCCGTCTCATCAAATGGCTCTAATGCCTCTACTCGTTGCTTTTCATCACCTGAAATATAATATCGTGATAAATCATGAAAATTGGCAAAACGAGCTTCCTTCATTCCCTGTTCAACAGCACGCTGAATCATAGATGCCCCATCTGGAAATTGTAAAAGTCCAAGCAGCGGACTCGCCTTTCCACGAAGAGAATTCTGCATAACTTCACCAAAACTATCAAAAGGACTTATTTGATCATAAGCCACAACAATGGCCGTATCAAAGGACTCCACCACTCGTTTAATTAACTCTGAAGATGCAGCTGGAGGCATATATTGCATTACACACTCTGCATATAAAAGTGTAGGATGATGTGGAGAAAAATCAGATGAGGCTTCTTTTAATTTACAAATAAAATCTTTTTCTGTATCTCGTAAATCTACTCCAATCGCATGATAGTTCTTCCCATGTAACATAACCAAGTCTTTATTTGGTTCTGCAATGACATCTTCAGGAAAAGCCCCCTTTGGGGCGGCTTTTATTAATTCCGCTTTACTTCGCATCACTGATGGAAAATCTATTTCGTAAAAGTGTACATTAGTATACTTTTCTTCTTCTCTTTTCAATCGAAACGCCAGAGTATCATAACCCGCACCAAGTGAGATAACTTGTATAGGGATTGAATGTGCATTTCTTTTTATATTCCCAAGATGATGAATACAACGTTCGACCACATCTGTAATAACCATCATACGAAGATAATATCCTCTGTTAATGAGAGGAGATCGTCTAGACAACTTACGAACAAAGTAACGTAGATAGGAATCATCAATATAACGGTGGTATACAGCAGAGCGTTTACTGACAACACTATCATCATTGGTGCGTTGCACAGCGGAGTCCAGGCTTTCACTTAACTCAGCAGTCGTGGTACCATTTTCTTTTCTTTGAGCAGTCATCATTTTCGTATTTTTTTTTTTCTTCTTCTTATTCTTCCGTTTTCAATGTAAAATAGCACGGATCCTCCTCTTTTTTTTTTTTTTTAATCAAAGAAGGAAAACAACAACAACAAAGAGAACTTCCTTTATTGCTAATAAATAATAATAAAGATTGAGTAGGAAAAGTACGGGGAGGAGGTATTGAAAAGATGGGGAAAAGAAGAATGTATATTTACATCTTCATTAAATAAAAAAAAAAATACATATATACGTATATAATAGATGGATTTAATAATAATAATAATAAGAAAGGATTAAAATATGTTTTCATCTGCTTCTTCTTTTTTATTATTATTTCCTCTGTTCCCCCTTTTTCATCTTCTTTAAGGTCCAAAAGAAAGTGAAACAACAACAACAACAAGAGAATACACATTATTATTATATCAAAGGTGAAATAATAAATAAATGAAATGTGACGACTACGAATTAAATTGCAGTATTACTGCCAGCAGCTGCTGCTTCTGAAGAACTTTCATGTTTGTTTTTCTCTGAACTAGGGATAGTATTAGTAGTATTAGTAGTAGTGACATCATCTGCAGTAGTGTGATCCAATTCTTCCTCCAACATATCCTCTTCATGATGACTAGTATTAGTATGATTACTATTACTATTACTTGGTTCACATCCCTTCCATTTCAATACAGTTTGTGCCAATTCCAATTTCCCTGCTTTTAACAAAAGTGAACTAAGTGTTACACTTGTATTACGTGAGAGTGAAAACCCCTTCTCTTCCATTTGTGTTAATAATGTAGCCACTTTTGTGTGTTCACCCGCCCTGGCAAATGCACCAACACAGACATTATAAATAAATTGAGTTTTGGGAAGTTTTTCCGTATCCAACAATTCCTGTAGTTTAATCGTATCTCGCATTCTAGCGTAGATGAGATAAACAGACTCCACATCACGCTGACGACAATCTGGATGAGCCAATAATAAAGCCATATAATGTTCCATCTTTGGTAAATCCCCAATGTAACTAAAGGAAGTAGCAACAGTGGCCAACATTCGACTGGTGAAGGGAACACCACTTGTTAACATTTCTTCTACAAGTTTTGCCGTTTCCTCCACCATATGAGCACGTGCAAAGATGTTAAGAAGTCCAACATAACCAAATTCTTCCATAGCGATTTGTTTACTTTTACGTTCTTCTATTAATTCCTTAATATGTTCATACCGTTTCGCACGACCATATCCTTCCATAAGAATATTAAACGTTACATGATTTTCATGAAATCCTTCTTCTTTCATTTTATTTCGCATAGCTTCCATCTTTACTAAATCCCCATTCTTTGCATATGCATTCATTGCTTGATGATATGTTACTTGTGTAGGTAAGGCATTTGTAGATCGTGACATCTCTTCCAAAACAGATTCCATCTCACCAAGTCTACCCATTTTACCAAGCATATCAACTACCGTCGTGGCGGTTACTGGATTAGGTGGAACTAGTTTCATCATGGTATTAAGAATTTGTTGTACCATATCCACATTATTATTCGCCATATAAAGATCAAGAAATTTATTATATACTGGCATAGTAATAGTTAATTTAGATTCTAAAAGATCTTTCCAACATTCATCAATAGCTTGAGCATCACCTAATCGAGCAAAAGAAGCAGCTGCAGTGGCAAAAAATAATGGAGTTCGTACCGTATCACTCATACGAGCTTTTTGAAAGTATCGTTTAACAGCATCTAAATCATTAAAATGACCCAAAGCGGTCACAACAACACTAAAAATACGTTCATCAATCTTTACACGATTCTCATGCATATCTTTTAAAAGGGCATCAAAAGCACGACGATCTCTTCGTTTAGCGGCATCACGAAGAAGCACACGGTAAATATTTGGAGATTTATATGGAATACGGGAAACTAAGGCATTTAAATCTTCATAGCGATCATTCATAGAGAAATATTGTACAATTTCTGCTTGTACAGATTCATTTGCTAATAAACCATGATTTTCAGCATCTCGTATAATAGCTTCACAACGATTGGTATCATGTTGAAATGATTTAAGAAGTTGAACAACTGCAGCTGGAGAAAATACAACATTATTTCCAGAGGCGGATTTATTTTTCATCTCTCGATAGAGTTGTTCCACCATAGTAAAATCTTGTAATTCTCCAAATACACGTAAAAGGGTTGGATACATAAAGGATTCAATTTGAATTCCTTTACCACGCATTTCATTCATATATTTTTCAACCATACGTGGATAATACTTGTCAAGAACACGAAAAACATGTTGATAGGTTTGAGCTGTATGAAAAACTTGTTTTTCTTGCATCTCTTCTTTTAAAGCAATAACCTCTTTAAGATTATACGAATGTGAATACCAACGCAACATTTCATCATAGAGACGATGATCATGTATAGATCCAGAATCTTTTAGACGATTAAAACATCTTTTCATATCTTCAAAACGACCCAAAACACCATAACCTTTAATTAAAGATATAAGATATAAAGTATCTAAATCTTCCACGGTATCATTTTCCACACACTCTTCTACAATAGTTTCCAAATGTTGTAATTTTTGTAGCATAACTTCATCTCCTGATTTTTGACTCCTTGCAAGAATTTCACTACACTTTGAAATAAGAGCCGTTTCTGCAGCCATTCCGAGATCACTTAATTTAAGTTCTTTTTGAAGTGTGGCTTCTACATCATACACATCCGCTACCGAACGGACTCCATTTAAACGAGCTCGCATAATAGCTCCAATAGCCTGTTCACTCAATATAACTTTATATTCTAATGCCATCTCTTTCACTTGCTCCATCATCTCTGGTTCACCACGGATACCTACAATACCACTTGAAAAAATAGCATTAAGATCAATGCGATCACGAGAAATTTTATATTCAGAAACCAAACGTTCTACAAGAGCGAAAATTTCATTATATTTAGATGTCATACCATAAACTTCTATAAGTGCAGAATAATCAGCTGTAGTAAGTTCTTCTTTAGGAATTTCTTGTAAAAGATCATGAGCTAATGAAAATTGACCTGAAAATTGATATGCGAGTACTGCTAACATTTTTAAAGAATCTTCACTACGTAATTCATCTGCCATATTTTTCATAAGATCCTTCGCATTATCTGAGCGATAAGAATCAAAGAGATGTTTAAATAACTGAAATCCCATTTTCATCCCATATTTACGAAAACGAATAGAAGCACGAAACAAGAGATGTGCCATATCACCTTGACGTAATTCTACACACTCCTTCATAAGACTTTCTGTGAGGGCAGATGCATCTTCTGGGGCTATTTCACCTTTCTGTAATTTAGATTGTAAAGTAATCATTAAAAACGTTACACTATTACGAAATTGTGTGATTTTTCGACGTGATCTCAACATAGATTGACGCACATGTCGAGCAACGTGCCGCGGCTTCGTTGTAAGCACCGCCACGAGTTGTGCCTCGTCTTCTGCGGTAAATGGACGATAATGACCACCACGCTGTCCATGCAATAAACACCGCGTGGAAACCGCATTGCGCCGCTGCACATTTAATGCAACAGTTCTTGTTGTTGTTCCTGTTGCTTTTGTTGTTATGATCAATGGACGGAGGAGATGAACTCCACAACGCGAGAGTAGCTTCTGCGTGTTCATCATCGTAAATACTTACACACACAGAGTGAGAGAGAAACGGAAAAAGTAGTAAGAAAAATAAAGGAGAAACACACAAAGATTTTTTTTTCCCTTGTTTCCTATCACTTTTCCCTTTTTTTTTTTTTTCTAAACCCCTTGAGTTCCTTCTGGTGTCAGCCACTTCCTCTCCCTTAATAAGAGGGGTAAAAGAAAGCAATGAAGAAAAAAACAAAAAAAAAAAAAAAAGAGTGGAATACAACCTCAGCTGAAGCAATTACAGTCTCATGATGTCACTCAGACTTTCCTGAAGTATCAAAATATAGGAATGAACTTAACGACGGAACAAGAAAAAGAATAACAGAGGAAAACGAGAGGCACACACAGAGAAAAAAAAAAGGAAACTCGGTCGGTATATCACATATAAAAATAATACAGAACAGCTGAACATCATCAACTCCAAAAGAACAAACATCCTCGTTGATACCGAAGATGACCGCTTTCATTTTACCACTTTAAAGAGGAACGAGCTGATCAAAAAAACAGAACATCATCACATCAAAAAATACAGCTACAAAATTTTTTTTTTGAATGGATTTTGTTCCGTTCCAACTCAATTAGAAAAATTTTTTTCTTCACTTCTTATTTTTTTTTTTATTGCTCTTTCTTATTTTGCACTTTATTTACAATAAGATTAATGCCATTCTCTTTCCCCCACCTTTTTTTTCTTTTAAGGGGGTTTTCTCTCTCTCTCTCTCTCTCTCTCTCTCTCTCTCTTACTGTCTCCTTTTGTCTTTTCTTCTCTCATATTTTTCACTTTCCCTCACCCCCCCTTTTTTTAAGAGGTCTTCAATCGTATACCGTTTCCACAGTGACTCCATTACCTTTTCCATTCATTCCTACTCTTCCCTTCCCTCCTCCATTGCGTGCGGGTGGCGGCGGCAGCTCCACCATCTCGCTCACCTCCGGCGTGTCGAGGGAGGCGGAGTGGTACGGGCCGCGGCCGATGGAGACGGCGGGGCTCTCGAGGGCGCCGGCAACGCGACCGGCGCGGGCCCGGCGGGTGTCCGGCACCGCGCGGCCGAGGAGGCTCCGCAGGCAGTGGGCGAGCAGCGCGCAGGTCCCCGGGCGGTGGCCGCCGAAGCCGTGGACCGCCGCCGAGAGGCTCGTGAAGACCTCGCGGCTGCCAAAACAGTTCTCGTAGCGGGCCGCGAACCCCCCGCCGTCCCGCTCCTCCCGCGTGAGGAGTTCGTAGTGGACGGGGAGAAGAGTGGGGTGGCCGCGGACCAGCGCCACGATGAACTCATTGTCCAGCCAGAGATGCGTCGGGTCCCCCAGCGCGTCCTGCACCGCCACTAACAACGTGTTGAAACACTGCGTGCGGAGAAGGGACTCCGAGAAGGGGGTATTCTTTCCACCACTAGCCAGAATACTACCTAATAAGTTCGCATAGTAACTGAGAAATAAACTACAAAGATCTCGTACCGTCTGATCACGTGGGTCTCGCATCTTTAACGTACTATAGCCTATTCGAAGAGCGCTAAATAAACCGGAATTGGGTAAACTATGTTTTTCTTCAGAGTGATAATAAACTTCTTCACAAGTTCCGGATGATCCTAAATGTACCATAACACAACGTTCAATTGGTATAGACTCTAAAAGATGAAGTTGTGAAGTAAGTATACCTACAAGATAAGGTGTAGGTGCCGCCAAGACATCAAGAAGACTACTAGGAAGTATCGGTATTAAAATATGCTGCCAGTCAAAAGGAGCTATAAGTGCCTGCAAAGACATCACTACATGTGATACAATACCAAAATTTGGTCCCACAACGATAATATGTTTCTCAAGTAGTAAATCTGCTAATACAGCAAAAAGAGTACTTGTATCAGGAAATATAGTGAGTAATTCAAGTGGCCAAGTATCAATAAAGGAACACAATCGATCGTATGGTCTATAAAATGCGATGGGAATATTAGTAGGTATATGGAAACTTCCACCTGAAGGTGGTGTAGGGGATTTAAAAAGAGCCAAAACAAGTTCTTTTCCAAAATCGTATCCATTACAACGAAAAAACATAGCAAGTCGGGTAAAAAAACGACACCATGGATATAATGAAAGACTAACAATAGCTTCTCCATTTACAAAAGTTGTACAATGACCATATAAACGTACTCCATGTCCATCTGTAAGTACAAATGTATGATTAAGTTCATCTACAGAGTATGAGGTACCTGATACGGAAAAGACAAACTGTGACATCTTTGGGTATCTCTCTTCAACTACATCGAGAGATTCTGGATAGGACCATACTTCTTCTACCTCTAGTTTACTGTTTTTTCGAAGTATAAGAAAATATTGAAGGCAACTCTCGTCACTCCCACTACAACGAAATGGATTTGGCAAGGACTCTAATTCACATGTATTTTTCTTCCTCAATCCAAAAGATAGCGTACTAAGAAAGGGAGAGGGACAAGCGGATGAAGTTTCTACAGGTTCCCTCTTTGCTCTTTCTATTTCTACTGCTATTGTTTTTCCTTCTGCAGTTGTTTCCATAAAAGACCCTTTTTACAATAATAATAACAATAAAAAAAACACTACACTCTTGTTTTTTTTTTTTTTGGCGTTACGCACGGGAAGCCACTTTCCCCTAATGCCACTGTAATACAGCTCAATATAATACAGAAAAAACAAACACTCAAAAACCAAAATATAAACCTATCAAAGGAGTAACTCCCAATAGAATTCTTAATATACTTTTAACCACCAATCCAAATTCATCGTGATTTAGGAAATGGTAGAGGAAGGGATAAAACAAAAAAAAAAAAAAAAAACAAAGAGGAACCAAAAACCATTGTATAAAAGCAAAAAAAAAAATAAAAGAAGAACCACATAAAAAAGAGAAACAACAAGAATAACAAGAAATTTTACTCTTCTCTCTTGACTTCATCAACTGTGACACAAAGAGACACAACACAGAATACAACGCATAAAGCAAATACTTTCAAATAGACAAAGACGGATAGATAGAACAAAACAAAACAAAAAAAAAAAAAAAAAGAAAGGAAAGGAACATACTTTAAATATTCCTCCCTTTTCTTTTTTAACTGTTTTATTTAAGAACTGATCATTTTCTTCTCTTCCTTGGCTATCTGTTCAATCTCCTTCTGCAGTTCTTCCATTTGTCCTACAATTTGCATGTTCATTGGATGATCTTCACGACCCTTCTCAAGAAGATGAACCGCTTCTTGAGGTTTCTTTAACATTCGCAACGCAAAGGCCCCATGAATATATCCTTGAATATTTCCTGAAGCTTCTACCGCCAAATTAGCACATTCCACCGCTTCCTTATACTTTTTTTGATGTACCAATATACCAGCCTTCATTCCAAGAAGTCCTCCCAAACGTGATTGATCGATAACGTGACTAATACCTGCATCTACACATCTTATAGCATTACTCCAGTCTCCATGTTGAACATTCGCAAGAGCCATGGCAGAAACTACTCTAATGAAAAGAGTAACATCCATTGGTTCATGTTCTTCCTTTGATGTCATAATAACAGGACCAGATTTCTCATTATCGACTAAATTCCCTGTATTTATTTTAGATTCTCCATCTTCAGGTGTTTTCTCTGATTTATCTTCACTTTTATGTTTTTCTTCTTTTTGTAAAGAGTTTGAACGGGTAGAACATCCATTCCGTTCTACTTCTTCCACAAGACTTCGAAAATTATCAATAAAATTTGTTACAAGTTCATGAGATGGTTGCCCTCCACCTATCATAGAACTTGGATACAATAAATAACTCAGTGGTCGTTGAGAAATGATATCTTTAGATCCATACTCTAGAAGAATTTTATTTAAATGAGGAGCGATACTTGGTGTTGGACTTTTGTTTTCAATTTCTCGCAATACTTTGTGTCCAAGTTCAACAATAACATCACGGGAAGTGGTTTCTGCCAATACCGCACGCTGCTCTCGTAAACTTTCATCAATTACTTCTGGTACATATTCCTTTATCCGCTCATCACGTGTCTGCGGTTTATTCCACAGCGATGTGAAGAAGTTGGTCTTACCAGTGTTTAATGCCTGTATAAACCCCGCACCAACTCTCAACGTACGGCGCATGTTTATTCTAAAGCTAAAAAGATAATAATAACAATAATAGCAAAAATAAAAAGGAAAGAAAAAGTAGTAGATTACACATACATAGAAAGCAAATCAAATAAAAAAAACAAACAAATAAACAAAGAGGGACTACAGCGTTATGTGAAAGGTTCTCGTCGATAAAAGGAGAAATGTCTCCGTACGTGGGGAGAAACTGAGGGTGGGGTGTAGAAAGGGATAAAACAAAAGAGAAAGAAAGAATATATTTATGTATATAATTAATAACCAACAAAGACTGCAATAGGAGAAAAGTCGGTTAAAAAACACCCAAGAAGGAGTTTCTACGCAAGAGGAATTTAGAGGAGTAAATCTCGCTACCACTGAATAACTTTACCGGTGATTTATTCACATCCGGAAAGGACCTAAGGATGGCTGTTACTCCATTACCGTTAATATGTTAACACGTTAAAACATAACAGATCGTATTAACCTAATAGGATTCAAACCTAATTGGAGATATATATATGAACAAAGAAAGAACCAAAACTCAAAAACGAAAATATAAACTTATCAAAGGAGCAACTCCCAATAGAATCCTTAATATACTTTTAACCACCAATCAAAATTCATCGTAGTTTAGAAAATGATGGAGGATGAGACAAAACAAAAGAGAAAGAAAGAATATATTTATGTATATAATTAATAACCAACAAAGACTGCAATAGGAGAAAAGTCGGTTAAAAAATACCCAAGAAGGAGTTTCTACGCAAGAGGAATTTAGAGGAGTAAATCTCGCTACCACTGAATAACTTTACCGGTGATTTATTCACATCCGGAAAGGACCTAAGGATGGCTGTTACTCCATTACCGTTAATATGTTAACACGTTAAAACATAACAGATCGTATTAACCTAATAGGATTCAAACCTAATTGGAGATATATATATGAAGAAAGAAGGAAAAAAAAAAACGGCAAACAAAGAAGGAAATAACATATTTGAAGCAGTTTATCATATCCTCAGGAGGAAAAAAAAACAAAAAAACACTGTCACCCCATATTTTCTTTGTTCACCCTTTTTTTAAGTACTTTATTATCTTTTTTCATTTTGTTCGCTGGAACAAAGTTCTTAAGAAAACAAAAAAAAAAAAAAACTGAAAAAAGAAAAACATATACATGTATATTATGCAAGTGAGAGAGGGAGAGTTTGTGTGAGTGAGTGTATATAAAAGAACAACAACAAGCGGTGCGAATGGTAATCTGCTCTCTAAAGATCTTTCTTATGCGTTTAGGATCTCTTCATTTGTTGTTGCCTCAATGACTGCAGTTTTGGATTGGGATTGTGCTTCCTGCACCAATTGTCTCTGATGGAGTTCCGCCATTATTCGCTCGAGCACAAGTTCATGCATGAGTTCATGCGGCTTTGTCAAGGCTCCCACAGAGTAGGAAACAGTATTCACATATACTATCTCTTCTTCTTCTTCTTGTTCATCTACAATAGTATTATTATTATTATTATTATTATTATTATTATTATTATTAGTGTTGTTATTACTATTACTGTTTCCACACGGTGTGGCCTCTGGCAGATGACCTCTCCAACTCTCACCCATACATCGTAGGGCCATGCGGTTATTTTTCTCTGCGAGTATTTGCAATTGTGTGGTCTCTACTCTCTTCAGCCGCTGCATCAACCACTCCACTCCAGCAGCCGTAACACTATTACCACTCTCATCACTATGATCATACTCATACTCATCACTATTATCATTATCATTATTATCATTATGATAATAATGGTGGACATCACCGGCACTATTCTCTCTGCAAAATGCCGGCAGCATTTCGGAGTGACTCGCCACAAATCGCTCCGCCACAAATCGCCGCGACGCATCATCGGCGGAAACATAAAAGGCGACTGCAATAGCGCCATAGCGGCGTTGATAGTGACGAGATAAATACGAACGATAGTGTGCGAGATCCAGCAGGGAACCTTCCACAATGAGTACTTTTCCCTCTGCCGCCGCCTTGTCGAGTTCACCCGCTACAAGAGGACGTACAGCAGAGGCCCATGCCCGCCATACTTGAGGTAAAGATAACAATCCATTATTATTATTATTATTATTATTATTATTATTATTATTATTATCAGTATTAGTGCGAAACCACAAACCCCGCTCATCCGGCTGCGGCCAACCGTTAGGATTCTCATCACTGTTGTTGAGATTGTGTTGGGGAATCCCCGCAGGGGCGATAATATCAGCGGGGAATCCGTCGTGAACGGCGGTGAGGACATCCAACAACACATCTGTACTGACAACGTTGTGTGTATTGAGTTTAGAGGCAAGACTGTGTGCAATGAAGGTCTTACTGCAGCAACCACTGCCGGCAATGAGAATAAGAAGCGGAACACGTTGCATGTAAAAACGTGTCATGAGAGGAAAGAGACGTGTGTGGGCCTCACCATAGCCGTACTGGGCCATTGTGTAGAAAGTAGCCGCCTCCAGTTCGGCCTGAGTAACATCGAGTTTCTCCTGATCTACAAGGAACTTTTTTAGTTCTAAACTCACCCGCACCGCTGCGGTTGTGGGAAGTTTGCAGAATGTTAACATCTTTGAGAGCATAAACCGGGAGAGGATGTAGTAGTGATCACCGCCAAGGTGCACCTTTACCTTTACACGATCATACTTGGAGCTCATACCTATCCAATCCTATCCCTATCATATATATATGTATAAAATAAATAAATATATATATTCTGTGAGGTCTTAACTATCCTTTTATTCTATTTTTTTTTTGTTTGAGTTTCAATTGTAGAGATTTCTCAACATACGTTGATGGAAGCAGTTGGAGCAAAACAAGAAGAAAAGAAAAAAAAAAATGAAACACGAGAGAGAGAGAGAAAGAGAGAGGGAGAGAGTTCTCATATGCTTCAAGTTATTAATAGTGTTGTTCCTTTAGTATTGACATTATAATAATATGTACTTACATGCCAAAAAAAAAGTAAAAATTGTAGTAATAATAATAAATACAGAATAACATTAGGAAAAAAAAGAAAGAAATAAAGTCCCATACAAACCATACAAAAAAATAAAAACATTACTACCAGAACAATCACTATCTGTATTATTGTGAAGATTACGAGATAAACCAATGAAAACACCCAACAGAATAATAAAATAAATATCACCCATACCATGTGAAGAAAAAAATAAACAAATAAATAAATCTATATATCATTATATTGTGAAGAGAACCTCTCTACAGTATATATATATATATATATATATATATATATATATCCGCCAAACAACTATTAACAGCTAACACCTTACGACTACAGTCTGCCCCTCTCCTCTGCTGTATTCATCTCCACAGCACCCATGGCTGTTGTATTCATTGCCGTCTCCACATCAGCATCCGCTTCCTTTTCCAAACGCAACTTCGCCGCCCGTCGACGAGTGGCCACCGCCATACAAATAAACACAATCAACAGTGCAATAGCCCCGCAAACAGCAATAGCGGTGAGTGAAGATGTTGAGGGTTCGGCTCGACAAACACCGGCAGCTGAGTGACAACATCCATTCACACAACACGTCTGTCCAACATCACAACAGTAATCTCCACAGGAAATGACACAATCCGACGTTGGAGACATAATCCACTCACTCTCGTTATTGTTTATATATATATATATATATATATATTAGTGATAAGGGTGTAGTCTCTGAATGTGTTCAGTGAAGCCATTCATAAAAGAAATAGCGTGAGTGAGAGAAAGAGAAAAAAAAGAGAAAAGGAAATAAACACACACATATACATGGACCAAGAGAGAATTATGGAGTGTGAGTTCAACACAGCAATACGAAATAGAGAGAGAGAAAAAGAGAGAGAGAGAAACGAATAAAGAATATGAAAAATAAAAATAAAAGGAATGTATAAATACAAGAGACCCCATGTGTAGATTATTAACTGAAGAGAAGAATAAGAATAAGCAAGAAAACAAGTTATATTGATGTTTTATTGAAACAAACACCTATTATTTCAGCAAAACCGCCAAAAAAAAAAGAAAGAAAACAAGAAGAAAACAAAACAACAATAATAGCAATTAACAGCTACTAGTAAAAATAATATTAACGACATTTCACTTTTATTCTTCCCTCCTTCCTTTCCTTCTCATTTACAAGCAAACATAATCAGTCCATGCCCTATTCGCTTATATCGATAGGGAGAAGGATTCGTATCATTTCCAAAGCGTTTCATCAACATACCGTAATCACTCTCCAACAAATGATGAACAATAAGGGAATTTTTTGTTACCGCCCGCACAGGGATTCCACTATGAAGATTGTGAAATCGACACTGTTTATCTCTCGCCACTACTAAAGAATTATATCGCGCATCACGCAGTACTCGTCCCACCATCATATCTTCATGATTCATATTTAATGAAAGAAACTTTTTTACATGTTCCGGTTGATATGGTAAATGTACTATTTCTTGTAGTGGTTTGTAGGAAACAAACTCCTCTACTACATCTCTGGCTAATATCATACAACTTCCAGCTGCGTAGTAAATCTTATCTTTTACTTTTTTACGTGGTGATTCCCAACGAACAAAGGATCCCCAGTAAAGTCCACGACGTGGTAATGTATAGAGATCTGCAAGGAACTGCGGTACACGCATAAACATATCATCATCCCCTTTTGCAATATAATATACATGTGGAAAAATATAAAGTGAGAGCTCAAACCAGACGAATGTCTTTCGACTCATTCCCACTTCAGCTTCTAAACCCCAATGACCCGCCACTCCAATAGTTTTAGAGGTTGTTGGTAAGGCATCATTTACAGAAAGTGTTAATACATCATACCACTCTTTTGCCTCTTCTTTTAATGCAGATGAAAAGAGAAACGCATTAGATGGATGTCGTCCAAGAGCGTAGAGAACTAATAATGATCCTGCGAAGTTATTGGCTTTAGTCGCAACATTCGGGTACTTCCAACAGGTGGATCGCTGCAGTTGACGTCGTCGTCGCCGTATATCTATATCCATAGAGGGAATTCCAAGTACAATGAGATAATCCCGCACACTCCATGTATGAACTACATCATGTGGAATGAACTGAAGTACTTCGTGAAGATTTGGGATTTTTGTAGATGTTGATCTTTTTTTTCCTTCCATGGTGGATTCTCCTACAATCATACTGCTTGATAGGAGGAATTCATTTAGCACAATAAAACTAAGAATAAAAATAGCAAATAGTATGAGATTATACAAGGAAAAACCTTTTACATACGCCATGTCTTACTATTAACCAAAGAAAAGAGAAAATAAAAGAATAAACAAAACGAAAAAAAAGAAGAAAAGAAGAAGAAATTAGAATTAAAATACAGGAGAGAGAAATTGAAAGAATAAAGTGATCAGATCACCTTTTTGTGAAACCCACTCAATGCAACTAATATCACTTATGCAGATTTATTTATGAATAAGGTGAAATAGGAGAAAAAAAAAAGCAGTGGCTTAGCCGTTAAATAAAAATAATTTCCTTCATCGGACATCGAGTTATATGTGTGTCTTCCACTCTTTCTTTTTCATTTCCTTCTTCTGTTTCTTTTCTTCGTGTAAGTGTGTAATAAGTGCGTCTGTGTCCATGTTTCTTTTTCTTTTTTTTTT